AACTTTCTTATAAGTTTAGTTAAACTATAAAAACATTTATGCCTGATGTTTTTTGAAGGAAGAGACTTACTCCTTTATTGTGATTATCATTTGGTCTTTATTTCTACCATCCTATTTTGTGCTTTCATTTACCATCCATTTTCTATGCTGCTTTTATCTTCTCAATTCTTTTTTCCATTTAATGTTTTATCTCTTAAGTTTTCATATTCTTCCATTTTCTTCTATAATCATGATTGTATTCTTTTAGTAATGATACCTTAATTTGTTAACATATATGCTAAGCATTTATTAAATCCAAACTATAAATTTCTCCAACAAAGCCTAAAGTTACTTAGTATTCCTAAAGAAGACAAAGACCTTAGCATGCTTCAACTGTTCCTTGAAGATTCTCTTCTCATTACTCCGTGTTATATTTTTACCTAGAACTTATTTTTAACTTTTTAAAACACATATATAGTTTTTAGTTTTTAAACTACATTCAATAGTTAATTAAATATGTTTACATATTTTTACATTTCTCTCATCTTAAAACAGGGTCCCTAAATTCTTTGATGTGCCCTCTGTTAAGAACTGGGGTCTGTGCACCTCCTTGAGCCGTGATAGGCTTGGGACTGCCTTTGACCAATGGAGTATGAGGGAAGTTACACTGTATCTAAGACTGGATCATAAAAGCAAAGTGACTTCACATTTGGGGCACTTGCATGTGGAACCCCAAGCTGGCACATGATCCTGACTTGCAAAATTCATAAGCATAATAAAATGGTTGTCTTAAAGCCATTAAGCCTGGGTAATTTATTACACAGCAACGGCAACAATAACTAGAACTTTGTTGTTTCTTGTATTCTAGACCTCAGCTATGGCTTTATTTTTCTTCTCGCTCAGGCTGGAGTTCAATGGCGTAACCTTGGCTCACTGCAACCTCTGCCCGCCTGAGTTCAAGTGATTCTCCTGCCTCAGCCTCCCAAGTAGCTGGGTTTATAGGCACTTGCCACCACACCCAGCTAATTTTTGCATTTTTAGTAGAGACAGGGTTTTGCCATGTTGGCCAGGCTGGTCTCAAACTCCTGACCTCAGGTAATCCACCTCCCAAAGTGCCAGGATTACAGGTGTGAGCCACCGTGCCCAGCCGAAATGCATCCTTTAATAGTTTTTTTTGTTGTTTTTTTAAGTGAAGATCTGTGGGTGCCAAATTCTGTCTTTGTATAACTGAGTATGTCTTTATTTTGCCCTCACTCTTCAATAATAGTTGACAGTTCTTTGTTCTCAACACTTAAAAGATATTACTCCATTGTCTTCTGGCATCTCTTACTACTCATGACAGTCTAATAATTATTCTTGTCTCTCATAGCTTTAAAATTTTTAATCTTAATCCATAGATTTTTAAAAAATATTAATAATATCATCAATGTGGATTAAACAAATGTTTCTAACTCTATTGTGGCATGCATCTGAGCCCAGAGTATTTGCCTTAATTGTGATAATCAAAAAGGAATGAGCTTTGTAGTCGGGGAGATTTGATTTTCAAACAGAATTCTGACATTTGCTGCATTGATCTTGTGCAAGGAAATTCTCCAAGCTCCCTTCTCACGTCTTTAGAAAAGTATCCATTATTACCTACATTGCAGAGTTAATGCAATAATTCAATGACAGTATGTGCTTCCAAAATATTTCTTATAATAGTCGTCATTATCTTGTCTTTGCTTCATTCTTATCTCCAATCTTAAGCAAATCCTTCAAGTTCTACCTCAGCTTCCTCGTCTGTCATATTGAGGGCAGTAATTCAGACCTCACAGGGTTGTGTGAGAAGTAATTGAGAAAATGTAATGTCTAAAGTATATCCGGCCCTCAATAAATGTTGCTGTGTTGTTATTATTAATTTTCTTTTACCCAAAGAAAGGTAAATGAGGTGGTGGCAGTGTAGCATGTCAGGAAAAACTCCAGCTTTAGCATGGGAATGATTGTGGGTTGAATTCAATCTGCCACTTCTCTGAGTCCACACGCAAGTCCTCTCTTCTCTGGGTTTTTACTTCCACTCCTGACTACAGGGAAAGCAATTCCTGTATCCTAGTGCTTGGTGGGGGCCTGAATGACATTGCGAACATTCAGGTCCTGCAATTTAGCAGATTCTGCCTAAAAGGGAGCCAGGCCAGGCCATCTAAGCATAGAGAAGCAGTTGGGAAGGCTTGGTCGTGGCTACTTGTTCTGGGAGCCACTCCCTGACACATGCCCACATGGTCTCCCCGGCCCTGCCCAAGTGAGTGAGCTTTGATGCTAGGTCAGACAACAGGTGTGTAAAAAAGTGAAACCGTGGAAGTGTTGTGCAAGTGTGCCATCAGCTGTGCCCACACCCAGGCTGCTTTTTAAACTGACTTATGCTGGAGTGCTTCCGGGAATTATTACCTTCCAGATGTTCGTAACAGTGAACTAAGCAGGCATTTGGTGAAAACCCAGAATGAAAGGGTAAAGGCGCTAGCACCGACTTGAGATCTAGGTACTCTAGGAACTGAAATCAGATCAGTCGACTAAAAAGATGGTGTTTTTTTAAAAACGAAACTTTGATTTGCTCAGTTCCATTAGGACTAAAAGTTTGCCTGATAGCCTACCTTTGCTCACTAATTTTGCTAAAAACACTGCTTGCAGCAAAGAAAGAAAGTCTGGCTACTTTAGTTCACAGCATAGGTTCTTTCAGTGAAAAAGAATTAAGGAGAAGAGAGTGAAAAGGAATTAAGGAGAAGAAAGGAGTCAACTACCTTTGAAAGAGGCTGTTCTGGGAAGAGGTGATAGAGTCCCCTACGGGATCATTGTGATATTCCACACGATCATTGTAATGGTCAGCCTGTTACGCTGACACACAAACCCTGTAGCCATTCACAGCAACAAGGACCATGTGGGAGTTATAAGATATATAGAGCTGGCCCCTGTGGCTGGGGGAGGGGACCAGGGAACAGAGGGCTCTTTTTCCTAATTAGCTGTTTTCATACAGGGAACACATGACCCAAACACAACCACCAACTGGGTCTTTGACATATACAGGCAGAAAGGGGGAGCTGGGCTTTTGTCTGCCGCAAACTCTTTTAACTTGCCTGTCACCCCAAGCTGCAAAACTCAACAATGAGTCAGATGAGCTGGGCCGCCATTTCAGATAGTTTGCTAAATGGACTTGGAGACAGGTATTATTTCAACCCACTCAGGGTTGAAAAATACTGTAAAACTGAGACTGGGTTAATATCTCTTTTTTTCCTTTTCTAAGTGATTTGTGATCATCTTTTTTTGCCATTTGCCTGAGTTTCCAGTATATCTATCCCAAAATAGTGTGTGGTTCAAAAAGAAACACATTTCAAAGAACCATATTTCTAAGTAATAAATTCAACCCATTCATAAAGCCTAATCATTCTCCTGTTCAAACTTTCTTTTTTACATTGACTGTTAGTAAGCACAGATGCATTTCCAAGAATATTGCAAGGGAATTACTTTCCCTGTCTAATGAAAGGCACCTGCTAGCACACGTGGTCAGTTTAAAAATCAGCAAATTGAAGAATAAAGGATAAAGCATGGAGAGGATGCTCACTGTGTGGATGTGAGTATGTGTGTATTTGTGTGTCATATTGTTGATTCTCTGACTTGGAAGCAATGAAAAAAATCTCAAATATTTTCCAACAGTTCACTTAAGGGAAAACAGTTCTGCATGAATGATTTCTCCAGAGCTAGAGGTAACATGTGCTAACACTAACTGTGCTGAACTGGAAGTCATCAAAATGCCGTGCCTGATGCCACTGCCCAGGTAGCAGTCAGTGGAGCATTTCCATATACAGCTCAAAGAGAATTTCCATCTGTAGCCATGGTGCAGGCAGGTTCAGAGAAATCTCCAATGCTGAGATTAAAGAAATCCACAACAAAACGCTTCTCCCAGTGGGTAAACACAGTCTTTCATGGACAGGGCTGTTTAGAAAAAATACTGCCTTCTTTGTTTTCCCACATATTTACTTCGTTGTATAGCACAACTGGAAAATGGTGACAAGACCATAAAAAGCTAGATGGAAAAGTGTCAAATTAAACCCACAGCAAAACCCAGAGCTGATTGGCTTAATTGGAGATAATGAGAAACAAAACCACAACCCTTACTTGCAAAGCGAAATAGAGAACTGAAGCAATTACCCAGAAAATTTACCAATGCTCCTTTGCTGAAATGCCTAGAAAATTGAAACCAAAATGTTTTGGGATTTCAAATGTCTGGATAATGCCCAAAAGTCCCATCTCACTTTGCCAGTGATGATCTGGACTCGGTACATATTCCTTTCTTTCTGGTGAAAAGTAGAAAACTGTCCTACAATGTAGCGTAACATTCACCCCGATTCAGTAATCAGGTTGCTGCCCGCAGAGACTATTATCAGTACCTTTGGGCAGAGAGTTCAAGCCATGTTTTACTAGAAAGCAGCAGATGAAGACTTGAGGTGGGGATGTCTCCTATCTCCTGGAGGTGATGAAGACTTAAAGGGTCAGTGAAACAAAAGGGAAAGTGAATGCAAATGACCTCTTTTAGGGATTAGACTAGAGTACAATTTTAAATAAAACTTAAGGTCATCTGCCCACAGCTAGAGTATGGTCAATCAAGACATTTGCAAGTGTTCAAACTCAGAGGTTTCTTCACATGCTCAGTCTTGGGAAGTGCACAAATACGGGATTCTATGAAATCGTGCTGTGGAAGCAGCAATCACTGAGGACATCTAGGCATGGAGAGCACAGCCACTGCAATTTATTCCTCTTTAAGCTCAGATAATACTATCTGTGGGCAAAACCACTCATTTTCAGATTGATACTCCACCTTTAGCACGTAACGCCATCTCTCTCCCTGAAAGTCCTAACAATGTCATGTCTCCCCAGAACAGGTGTGTTTCAGGGTGATGACGTTGCAGAAACAGCAAGTTAGGCTGTGGTAGACTCAATGCACGGAGCCCAGAGAAAAAGGTGTTTGGAGATGGGGAGGGCTGGGGTGGCTTTACCGAAGCTGGGGGCGCTGTGCAGGGTCATATCCCGGATCACCCTCGTGCCAAAACAGGACCACATCAAGAGGAACTGCTGGGCCACCTTCTTCAAGGACCCTTGTCTCTTGGCAGCCACCTACAAGAAAGTGAATGGCTTTAATAGTGGTCAACTTGACCTTTCATTTATTACTGTCTCTTTGAAAAATAAGGCCAGTTGCAGTGGCTCACGCCTGTAATCCCAGCACTTTGGGAGGCTGAGATGGGCGGATGATCTCTTGAACCTAGGAGTTTGAGACCAGCCTGGGCAACATGGCAAAACTCCATCTCTACAAAAAATACAAAACTTAGCTGGGAATGGTGGCACACCCCTGTAGTCCCAGCTACTCAGGAGGCTGAGGTGGGAGGATCACATGAGCCTGGGGAGGTCAAGGCTGCAGTGAGCTAACTGCACTCCAGCCTGGGCAACAAAGTGAGACCCTGTCTCAAAAATAAATAAATACATACATACATACATACATACATACATACAGAAAAATGACAGGAAGGCTTATGGTCTTCAAAGTCATTGCTATGGAGCAATGGTTTTTGTTTTGTTTGTAGCAGCAAAAATACTGTAAAAAAATGAAATCTTATGCCAAGACTCAGTGTATACCGCAGATAAAAGAGATGCTGACCTGGTTGAATCAGGGATGGAAGACTCAAGAGTCCTGCCTTGTGCCCCCTTCACCTCCTGGGGCCTCTCCTCAAAACCCTGTTCAGACAGCTCACCATGGGGCTTTGTGTTAGCCAAGTTCACAGTAGGCGGTGGTGGGCTGCAGGACCCAAGGCTGCCCCCTCAGCGCTGGTTTACCAACCTTCACAACACAGCGGTCAACCATGGTATCCAGCCACTCAATGTAGGACTCGATGGGAGACTGTTCCTCCAAGAGGTGGTCAAACTCCTGATATACTGTCAAACAAAGGAGAACCCCACATGCGTCACTGCAGTTGTATTTAACAAGGGCTATGTCTTAAAAGAACAGGGGAACAAAACTTTGAATAAAGTAAAACTTTAAATAAATAAAACTCTAAGGTCTTAGCAGAGCATTCAAGACTTTATAAAACATGCCCCAACTTACCTTTCCAAGATCATCTTCCATGCCTGTGAACACATTAAACTGTGGCTATCCCATATTACTTGCCATTCCCCCAGCAAGCCCTGCTTTTTTCATAGCCTTAGTCTGTTTTTTCAGGCCATTCCCACTACTTGGTTCCTCATGGCCCAGCTGAAACGGCCCTGGTATGAAATCCCTTTAACCTTCCATGCCCCTTGCCAGCAGAACTGATAACCCCTCCTTTGCACTCACATAGCACTTTAGTATCGGTTTTCTACCTTTATTATATGACTAATGGCACTGGCATAATTGGATGGGCATGTGTGTCTCCCTGCTAGTTCTTCGTCTGGTATCTTTATTAGCTGGTGCATTATCTGTGACATAGTTGTTACCCAACAAATTCTTGCTTGAATTAATGGGTGAGGCATTGCTGCTCTCTTGCTCTCTGCCCAGGGTAGGGCACATTCGATAATTCAAATGTTTCTGGACCACAACTATATCAGGCAGGTAGCTTAAGCAGCCTCTCTGTGTGGCATGTAGTAGGTGCTTAATAGATACTTGCTGAGTAAGTGCAACAGTCTCTTTGCTGCCCATTTACCTCATTGGAGAGATAATCCTACCACTTTACAACCTGTCTTCATCTTAATTCAGATAACTGAATCTGGAAGTGCTTTTTAATCAATGAAGTGCTCTAGAAAATAGAAACATGGCTCTGGTGATCTCTAGTTTGAAGCATCTCTTTTCATCACATTTTTGTGTTTCTGTATGCAGAGATCAATAAATCAAACCACAATTCAAGATCCATACGTTTCTTTCATTTTCACTTGAGCAGTTTTTGTTCTCTCATTTTAAAGGACTGGCCACTTTGCTCTATTTTACTTAGTAGATGCTTGCTACAAGAAGTAAGATTCTGAGACCAGAGGGTCATGGCACTAGAATGCTCAAATGTTTGTTGACTGAACGGATGAACAACCCAAGGAGGTAGGTACCATTATTATCCTCCATTTTACAAGTGAAGAAACAGAGACAAAGAAAGATGAGTAATTTTCCAAAGGTTGTTCTTTCACAGCTAGTGAATTGCAGAGACAAGATTCAATCACAGCCTGACTCAAGTGCTTGCCTCCTAACCACTTCACTATGCTAATACTAGACTGTGTACCAAGCAGGTGGTACAGATAGTCTCATTTAATCCTTTCACATTAGCCCCATTTTACAGAAATGAAAACCAAGGTCACAGTGCACTGGAGCCAAGATTTGAATCAAGGTCTTTTGGGCATCCCAGCCCCATGCTGTGTAAGAGCTGTGTAAGAGCAAGGTTTGAACCACGGTCTGTTGGGCATCCCAGCCCCGGGGATCCCAGTCAATGGAACTTGGACATGGGGCTAGGATGCCCAACAGACCTTGGGCAGTTACAATGATAACTCATTCTAATCAGCTTGCTTAAGTACTAATGTGCACTTTTAAAATCTAAGGTAAGCTGAGCATTGCTGGCCGAGATCTGTATCACAGAGGTGATGGTAACCCCCCCCAAGCAAGAGTTTGCAGATTTGTCAGCTCGCTGTGAGGAAAGAAGAGCGCTGCACACAGTTGTCCCAGCCCTGCTCAAGATGACCTTTGGTCCAACTCCGTGTGTGTTCAGGGACTTCCCAGCTGTCTGCTTGGGAGGTACAGGGTTGACACACATGTGCTGGACTGCCTTGAGGCTTGGTACCCTACCTCAATTCCCCCTTCACAGCACTGCATTACATGGCACTGTTCTCTTTGGTAAGATGCAACACATCTGTAAATACATGTTTGAGGTCTGATTTACCATTCACTGTAAACTCCATGTTGGTAAGGGTTGTGTCCATCTTATTCGCTGCCCTCTGGCCAGCATCTAATACAGTACCTGACTTAGGACAGGCATTCAGTAAGGACTAGCTGGGTTGAACTGAACCACAGCATTTATGTCCCCAGAAGAAGAATGCAGTCACAGCTTTAAAGGGCACCATTCTGCCCTGGACCTAAGGAAACTTGAAGAGAAAGCCACAGAGGTTCTTTCTTGAGAGAGGCAGCAGTGACCTCCACGGTGCTCCAGCAAAGGCTCGGAGCCTGGTCCCTTAAGCAAGCAATGCTGATTGTATTTTTCCCCATGAGTCTGGTTCACATTTTCCTCCCTCATGAAAGGTGCTGAGGCGGGAAGAGAACTGAGTCTAACACTACTAGGAAGATTCGCAGAGCTAAGAACTAGGTTCACTCTGGGTTTCCACTCATCTCTTTGGTATTCCATGAACCTTGCTGGACACCTGCTCTGTGCCTGGCCCATTGGGAGTTCCTAGGGACACAATGATCAGAGGTACCCCCAGTGCTATTAGGGTGTGCAGGGCCAAGCTTTCTGTTGACGTTCCATCCAGGGGACAGGAAAAAGCAGAACAGGAAGCATGATTGTAAACACTTGGAAAGATCCTGGAACCTCTGAAACTCACCCACATTTCCCTTTTTTTTTTTTTTTTTGTCTCCCCTGCACATGAATACATGAGCAGCATTAAGGCCTGGTGGTGAAGCTGAGACTAGATGTGAGACCAGACTTGGGTTCAGCTCTATTGCTTAGTGGCTGCGTGACCTTGAGTTAGGTTCACCAACTCTCTAAGCCTGAGTTTTCTGATCTGTAAAGTGGGGGTGATAAGAGTGTCTTCCTCATGGGCTTGATGTGGAGATTCAATGGGACCACGCATGTGTTGGATCTGACACAGGAGCTGGCTTAGAGCAGGCAGTCAATAAGCTGAATTATTATTTTAGTGATGATCTCTAAAATTCTTAACAGGGGAAAAATGGGCTGGGGGCAGCTGTGAAGGAAGAAGTAACAGTCTGAGTAAGCTTTAGGCTAAGTCAGGAAAGAAGTCCTGGGGAAGGTCCACATGTTCAGACATTTCAACTATTCCATTTGCTTTTGAAAAGGGCTTATTGGGAAAGAGATCTCTTATAGGATCCTCTTAGGGAACTTTATTTGTTTAAAGGCACCTCAAGTTTAAACTGGGTAGCTGAATGAAGAGTTCCCTCAAGACAGCAGTGCAGAAGGCATATACTAAGAAATCTGAAGGGGCTTGGGGCTTTCAGAAAGACCCCTCTTGGTGGGGCAGCCTCTCTGCAGCTCCCCAGGCAATGTCACTTTTGGGATCCTGGGCCTCACCACCCCATTGAGAACATGGGAGTGCATGCTCTTAACGCCTTTCTGAGACCTGATGGGAGGAGTGTCCCCTCACGTTTCCTGACCTCATGTTCTCTAATTATGGAGGTAGCCTGTAGACACTGATGGATCCAGGGTCATTGGGCTCAGGGGATGCCCTGGGCAGTCAGCTGGGATGGGCGTCTGAGGAACAGCAGGGATGTGCTAACAATGATGATGTTCTCTGGCCCTCTCATATTGCTTTAGTACTAAGAACAAACATCCTGCCGACATGGGGTTAATATTTGGAGCAGTATACCTGCAGTCTGCATGGTGGAAATCTTTGTTCGCCGGGACATGAACATATATTCACAGAAGTAAAACTGAAAATGCCATCCACCTGCTTCTCAAACATTTAACGTGATTGAAAGGTTCACCTGCCAATAAGTGGACTGACTCATGTGACCCTCAAATGAAAAATAGGCAGCATATCCAGCTGACCCCAGACTGACATACACTGAGATAGGCAATAAGCTTTTGTTCTCATATTTAATGCCACCTCCATGGAACCAGGGCTGGCATTCAGGTCACACGTGGGGCCCTTTGCATGACATTGTGTGCTGCCCAATTGCACCAGAACCCTCTTTACCCAGCAGTGCTGACACATGTCCTCTTAAGTCAATTAGCCCTTCCTTCTGGACCGACTCATTTAAAAGGAACAATGAGGAAGAAGAGATGCTGGGAAGAAGGACAGGGTGGGGATGCCACTTCAGTATTTACTAAGATACTTTTTCTTTCTTTCTTTTAAAAACAAAAACAGGACAACAATCCCTGGTGGGACAGCTTACATTGGATGATGAGTTTCCGATGTTCATCGCGAGAGTCTTCCATGGTGTAAAGGGTTTGCTTGGTGATGCTGTTTAGGTCCACATTCCTCCAGTCTTCCAGCATTTGGAACGTGATGTCTGCACTGTGGATCACTGTTCGAGATGCCTGTAATCCAATCCAGTCAACTCATTAGCTCATGGGTTGTTAAAACCCCTTCACTGTATTTCCTTTTATGCCTTGTTAATGCATCCGCTTATGGTATTTTGCAAACTACCTTGAAATTCCGAGAAATTCAGTTTCAGGAAAGCACCAGAAGACTCCATAACTCAGAAGATGCAGACACTGTTTTCTCCTGTGGCTCTTTCCACACATGTCTTTTTCTCTACAAGCAACTACCAGGGTGGGCTGGGCCAGACCAAACCCTGCTGATTCCAGTCCCTTTGGTCTTGACCCCATGGAACAATGGGATGAAGCCCAGAGATCTGTCAGCTTTCTGAGGTAAGCCTGTGGGATGGGAGCTCTGTGCCGAATAATCCTTGTATCTCTAGTCCCTGAGAAGCTACAGGCCGGGATTTAGAAGTGTTCTTGCTACCCCAGGGCCTAACTTAATCCCAGATATTTCAAAGTGTATATTTTTCATATAAATACATTCTGAAACAGTTTATGCTCTTGTTTTCCATTTTTGCTTTTTTAAATGTAACTATAATGATTAAAACATATATGAATAATTAGGTTGGAGGAAAAGGGAAACTATACCACCATACATCTCAGTAGTTTGTTAGTGGATGGAGGGATGTGTATAGTGTGTGAATAATTTTTTATATTTAAATATATATGTGTGTGTGTGTATGTGGTTTTTTTTTTCCTTTAAAGCTGTGGCTTTTTCATGGAACCCTCATTAGTGAATTTAAATTTACAAGTTGGAACAATACCTGGAACAATATCATCAAGTTGAAACAATATTGAGAAAAGAAAAATATATATCCAGGATCATTTCCTTTACTTGCATGTTTTCACAATGTCTTTTAATAAAATAAAAAAAAAGATTTAAAATACACAAAGACATTGTCAAGTCTCCTAATGCTTGTAAATTCCTAGGCAAAGGTAAATACTGACAACCCCTTGTTGTACCCCGACCATCCAAGCACAAGTAAAATCTGAGTTAAATAATTGGAGAACTCTTTAAAGGTCACGAAGGCGTAGAATATATGAGTGAGGTGAATCTCTAATGATCGGCGTAGAATATATGAGTTAGGTGAGTCTCTAAGGATAATGAAAACAACTGAATAGAAAGGTAAGGTGTCCTGCATTCAAACATAACCTAGTTCAAATCCTGGCCTCGTTGCTGACCAGCTGATTGATTTCGGGCGGGCAAGTAGATTAACCTCAGCCTCCTAATCTATAAAATGGAGATACGATAGTACCTACCTTTTTTGTTTTTTTCTTTCCTGAGCATGTTCCTTCAGAGATGCATTGTGAGCCACTTTATTACAATGAAATGAACTGTTTACCAAAGAGTGAATTCTGTAAGCAAGTGTTTAGAACATGCTATTTTTTTTATTTTTATTTTTTGAGATGGAGTTTCACTCTTGTCACCCAGCCTGGAGTACAGTAGCGCGATCTTGGCTCACTGCAACCTCTGCCTCCCAGGTTCAAGTGATTCTCCTGCCTCAGCCTCCCTAGTAGCTGGGATTATAGGTGCATGCTGTCACACCCAGCTAATTTTTTTATATTTTTAGTAGAAACAGGGTTTCGATACATTGGCCAGGCTGGTCTTGAACTCCTGACCTCAAGTGATCTGCCCACCTAGGCCTCCCAAAGTGCTGGGATTGCTGGCCTGAGCCACCGCGCCCCGCCTAGAACATGCTTTTTAATGGTGTCTCTTACCATCGTGTTTAGGGCCTTAGTGCTTACCTCTTAAAGAAGGGCTGCTGTTGAGGATTTCTTGAGATAGTGTTTGAAAAACAGAGTGCATAGTGCAGGGAGCTCAATAAAAGTGGCTACTGTTGTTCAGATCGCTTCTCTTTCAGTGACTGTGTTGATACCTCAAGGCCTTTGCACATGGTGTTCTTGCTGGCTGGAACATTCTTCTCCCTCCTTGCCCCAGCAGCCCCACTACGATGTATGCTCCAGCCTAAATGTCACACCCATGGAAAGGCCATCTCTGACCACCTATTCCCATTCTGTTTCTTTCATCACATTTAACACTTTTGTTTTTCTGCTGAGGGCAAATACTACTAAGCACAGTATTGGGCACACAGTAGGCACCCAAAAGATTTTGTAAAGTGAATGGTTAAGATAGGAATGCCAAGTGTTTACTTGCCTGGTGTATCTGAAAGAGCCTGGACGTGCGAATCTTGGGTCTAAATATTTGAGGTGAGTCTTCAGTTGGACGTTGTTTAGTCTGACTTGCTCTGTGTGTGTGTTTAGGAAAGCTCACTGGGATGTTAGCTGGTGTTTCATTCCCAGACTTAACCCTAGTCCTCTGTCTGATCTGGGAATGTGTCTGAAAGTTGTCCAGTAGAGATGGAAAGGGGGCATTTGCTGATTAAATTACATGCTGTGTTTGTGCAGAAGGTGGAGAGGGAACATGTGGGCACCCCCACGCTTGTGCAACACGTGGCTATGGGCATGGGTGTGGACGCTTTTATCTACATGTGCGTTAAAGGGACAAAGTCCTCTCTAAATTGTCTGATCCCCAGAGGGAGGCACCAAAACCACGTCTAGTTCCCTGAGACGACCCAAGAGCCACTCTTCTAAGCTGGAAAAAAAGAACCAGAGGGCCAGGCTGGCATAGCATCCGCAGAAATAAGGCAATGTTTCTTTGTTAGGCCAATATTAATTTTCTTCCCTGAATCCCATTAATCTGTCAGGCTCTGCACCGTCACCAGAACAATGCCCAGGTGTAGCCTCTGTAGCAGCCTGCATGAATCTGGAAGAATTTCCCTCTGGTCTCCAAATCAACCCCTGTGCTGTCCATGCCAGGGGCAGGACAGGAGCAGGGAGGTATGTGTGGCTGTTGTGTTATACTTTCTGGTTCCTGGCCTGGGGCCCTCCTTCAGACCACTCTAACTAGAAACCCCTCCCTCCCATCTTGACCTTGAACCCACCCAGAACCAACAGCACCTTAAAGGAGAGGCTGCAAACAGAAACACAGGAAGGGGGCAGGCAGGTGACATTCAGGAGTGAGGTGGGCCAAGTGTGACAGAGTTGGTGGAATGAGGATGGTGGCCACTGTGGAGAAGTTTGGCCCAACAGCTGACAGCTGCCTGGGGAAACGGGGCTCTGGGAGCAAGTTGTCAGCTCTTGAAGGTTTAGCTGTCATCTCCCAGTTCCAACTGTTAGTGACCATGTGAAAAAATTGTTTTGAACATATTCAAGCCAAACAACAATAACCCCACACATCTGAGGGCCAGATTTGGCCTGTGGCCACTGGTTTGCCACCTCTGCTGTAACGTCATTAATATTTTAATGTAATGTTAATCGGTTGCCTTAACAGACTTAGAGTCCCTTCATTAAAGTGCAAAATTAATAGAAATGTACTTATGTGCCATCAAGCTATAACTACAGAGTAGGTAGGGGCATGCAGTGGGATCTTCCACTTCTACTTAATACACTTATATTTTTAAATGTTTTTGATAGCAAGCATATGTCACTTTCGTGCTAAAAATAATGTAGATCTGGAAAAAAACTAAACAAAATTGGGCAAATATTGAATATATTATGTGACTTTGAACTCCGATGATACAACAAACAAATCATCCTCTTAATCTGTTTGAATCATTTGATTCAACCACTACATACGTTTTGGGCTGGATAATTAAGAGAAACACAGAACTGTGGACCTAGAACATATCTGAAAGGTTAAGGGGCAACTGATATCAGAAATTATTTTATATAGTAGTTGAAACTATTTAGTTATTGGCTAATGTTTTCATTCCTTATCTGCAGAAATGAATAGAGAGAGTGCCCTGGTAACCTGAAAGATCCTGCAGGAAGTTGTTTTTGCGAATTTGCCCCCTCATTTGCAATGACTCAGCAGTGGTTAAAACACATAGCGCAGGACAGCTACCTGGCAGAGATGATTTAGTGATGTTTGCCGTCTCAGAATTTGGGAGAACCTTCTCGACACTGCAAAGGGAAAAGAATTAGTTTGAAATATTTGCAATCTTTATGATTCTAACTTGGATTTTCCAGGGGCAGATTTCAAAACGTAGGCTGCTTATTTTGCCTACATTTGTCTCACCGCCCAATCCCATTTTATATACCCACTGGCAAAACCCTGCACTTGGTTCTTTGTTCTCCCATGTGAGCTTCAACAACTATTTCCTAATGGTGACATTCGGGGTACATATTTCAAAGTCATGCACACGATACACTCGCAGGTGTGAGAAATGGTGGCGTCAGTCAACCGTGAGTAAAGGCAATTATTGTCTTCATTTCGCTAATTGCAAGCTCAATCACTTCTCCCCATAAATAATTGCAGGAATCAAGTGGAAGCTTTGAAGAAGTCCCTTTAAAAAGTAGTATGTCTAATAGTAAATCCTGATTGAGCCTCAGCGGTGTGTGGGGCTAGGAGGTGCTTCTGGGATGGAACCTGGCTTTGCATTCATAATCTGTCCTTTTTATCAAATGAGCTCCATGACCTATTTGCATGTTTCGATGATGACTGCAGCTAGGAAAAGATCTTGTTTGCTACACTGACATAATAGGCTGATAATTTGAAGTAGGGTGATCTTATATCTGCGGATTTCAATGCAGACGAGACATGTGCTTGCCCTAGCTCTTCATTCTTACAGAGCTGTTGGAGTGGGGCTTGTTTCCACCCCTTGCACATTCTCAAAATACACTCCCAGGCTGGGCTCCCTGGGAAGAACAGCCTCCGCCCGACACACACAGGTGGAAGGTCCAACAAACCTCCTCGCCGCCGACTTTGAACAGGTTTGTTTTGTCGGCATAATTAAAATGGGTGCGGGGGCATTCTTCTTGGTAATTTCTGAACTGGTCAAGTAATAGTCAGAAATTTCCCTAGGATTATTCTAATTTGTACTCAGAGCTGGCTTGATTTGAAAAAATAAGGTGTGGGGTGGAGGAGTGGGGGTGGGAGGGGGCAGATGGGAGACTTCTAATTTTCCAGGCTGATCAATCGTTAATCCTTCTCCTTAATTACTTTTTCTTTAACTTTGTGATGTGGAATTTAGTGCTCATGAAAAGAAAAGAGCTGAAAGCCATGAAATAAAGCGGGCTTTATCAATAGGTGATGGCCACTGCAGGCAACCTCAAAGCGCGTCTGAAAGGGCTCCCTTTGCCTGTGGAGAAAGGGTAATTTGATCGCCTTCATTTTGCTCACTGGCACTTACTTCGGGCAAGAATAGCAAGCTGTTGTATTCAAATGGGGCTTTAAAAATGTATATTTTAAAACTTTGTTTTACTGAAAATCATTTCATCTTTAATAGCAACAAACAAACCGTACATGAGTCTCCCCGCAAGTACAGGCAGATTGAAACAGAAAAACAAAACTAATGCTGGGGAATGGGTGCCAACACTCAGCAAAGAAAGCGTTCACGGTCTCAATCCCTTTATGAGAAATATTAATTTGGCTTTCTAATTAGGCAGAGAATGAGTGAAGCCCTTAAGCTGTTCTCTCTCTCCTGCTACCACCATTTTATGGGCAGGAACTTCAAGGAAATCTCAGACCTGAGTTTGATTCCTTGCCCCTACTTACAGCTGTGTGGCTGCGTGGCTTTGGGGCAACTTTCTTTGCCTCTCAGAGCCTTATCTGTAGAATAGAGATACTACTTCCTACATCGCAGAGGCAGCATGAGGATTAAATGAGATAAGGAGGATGGTGGTGGTGAGCAGAAACTTTGGTGTCAGACCTGGGAGAAAATCCTGTCTCTGCACTACCTCTCTAAGCTTGACTCCTCCTCTGTAAAGGAAGAAGTGTGCCACTTACAATAAACATTTTATGAGGATTAAATATGTGTATATACATAATTAGTATAATACCTGGTGCTTTATAGTCAACCAGTAAACAGTAGCTGCTGCTACTATTGTTATTAACAACTTACGTAAAATATTTGGCACTAAAATGTAATTCTCTCTTCCCTTTCACTCCCAACTCAGTACTTACATTCGAACTTGATGTTTCGCAAGTTTTCTGGGAGGTCGTGGAGAGCCACTTTTAGCCACTCATCCAGTTGCTTGGCAAACTTTCGAATCACCTGAGTTAAGCTAGAAAGAGAAACGATGAGTTTTAAGTGCTGCCCATGTTGCTCAGTTCCTCCCACAGTCCCCTACAGGGTTTTATTTCCCCTAATCATGTTTGGGCTGCTACCAATAGGTGCCATTTGTAAGAGCAACCTCAGAGACAGTGCCAACAGCCCAAGCCCTGCGGAGAGCAGGTGAGTCTGGGAAGGGCACGAACAGAATGTACTCTGCTGGTCACTGATGCCCACTGCAAGGCTTGGTGGCATCCAGAACTAGTTAGATGCAAGCAAAACATGCTCCTTTATGCTTTTGAAGAGCTTGTGTGAGGGGTGAAGACAGTGGGCCGTGGGCCTAAGAAAGCCCAGTCTTGTCCGATCCTCCCAGGCAGGCAGGAACCCCGTTTGCAACATAACTGCCATGCCTGCTCACCCAGCTTACCAAACTGCTTGCCATTTGGTGGGAACTGGGAAGCAACAGCATATTTTTAAATTGGCAAACAACCTTGATATGGGCCTTGAAACCATATTAGATTCCAAGAGTCAAAGACAGTATTGGAACAGGAGGCAGGAGGGAACTGGAGAGGTGAAGCACTGAGCAGGGCAGTAGGTTGCAATAAGATGGGAATTTGGAGTTGAGAAGACACTGGGCCCCCTTTTCTGGCTCTTGCTATCAAAGCCATCTGCTCACAGGCCTAGGTTCGTTCTCCACGAAGTCCTCCTTGGTTGTGTCAGATATAGGGACATCTCCCCTGTTGACCATCCACACCATCCTTGCCTTCCACCAACACCGCCTAGCCTGCTGCCCTGGTTCAGCCTTTCGTCCACTGTCTCCTGTCAGACACAAAAGCACCAACCTCCACCCTGCTGGGCAACCCCATTTCTCTCTGGTCACTCATTCTTTCCTTTCTCATAGCTATCTCCAACCTTCTTCAAGACCCTTATGCCTCCAATTCCCGAAATCTCCCCTCCCTGCCAGTGGGTGGAATCACCTCCTACTTCTCAGGGGGAAAAAAAAAAAAAACAGAAAAACACAGAGGAAGGATGTCATCAACACTCAGCTACCTGCCTGGTTCATCTCTTCCTCCCTAATAGAATCCAGGAGCGATCCCTCCTCTTGCCGTCCCCTGCTGCTTTCTCAGGAATTGTACATTGCTGACGGTCCCTTCTCCTGTATATTCAGCTTTTTCTTCTCTACTAGATCATTCTGCTCATCTGTTTTTTTAGGAGACAGTCTTGCTCTGTTGCCCAGGCTGAAGTGCAGTGGCACAATCTCAGCTCGCTGCAACCTCCGCCTCCCAGGTTCAAGTGATTCTCGTGCCTCAGCCTCCTGAGTAGCTGGGATTACAGACACACGCCACCACGCTCAGCTAATTTTTTGTCTTTTTAGTAGAGATAGGCTTTTGCCATGTTGGCCAGGCTGGTCTCGAACTCCTGATCTCAAGTGATCCGCCTACCTCGGCCTCCCAAAGCACTGGGATTACAGGTGTGAGCCACTATGCCCAGTCCTGCTCATTATTTTAATGTATTTAAGAATGTCTCACTTTAAAAACAACAAAAACCTCTTTATTTCCTCCACTCTATCCCCTCGAGCCACTGCCCTTTCTCCCACATCACAGACAGACTTCTTCAAAGTGCTGCCCAATTCTTTGTCTCATTTCCTTCACCTCCCATTCCCTCCTCACCTCACTCCTGACCTGAGCCTAAACAGCTCTCACCTAAGCAGCCCCCATGCATGATTCCAAACCCAGTGGACTTGTCATGGTTCTTGGCTGCTTAACATCTTGGCGGTATTCGATTCTGTCACCTGCGCCCTCCTTTTGGAAACACTCACTTCCCTTGGCTTCTGTGATCCCTCCTTCTGGCTGCTCCTCCCCAGTCACAGAACTCCTGCCCTCTGCCTGGTCAGCATGCCTTCCAGTGCTTCATGTCTAGTCCTGGTCTCTCATCTCACAAAGCTTTCTTCCTTCCCCGGGTAGTTTCTCCAGGCCCACAGATTCACTGAATCTGTGAATTTCCCGTCTGTGCAGATTTACTGTCTGCACTTACTTTTGCACCTCTGGCCCAGAGGCCTCCAAGCTGAACTCGTGATTTCCCCCTTGGACCTGCTTCTTTTCTTGTGTTCTCTATTTCAGTATGAACTCTATTTTTCATCATTTTATTTTTATTGATAACTTTTTTATTTTCAAGAATTTCAAACATACCCCAAGACAGATAGTATAATAAACCTCCAAGGACCCATGACCCAGCTTCAACAATTGACATCATTTTTGCCAGTTTAATAGATTATATTCCACTTTTTCTTTTCTGGAGTGTTTGGAACAAATCCAAGATGTCATTTAACCCCTAAAAACTGAGTGTGCATTTCTCATTGGCAAGGTTTAAATACGTATGTGTACGTGTATACACACACATGCACACAATGTGTGTGCAGCATTTAAATCCTCCATGCCATTAGTTTATCTAACAGAATGAACAGTAATTCCTTAATATCATCTACAGCCCAGTCTGCATTCAGATTTCTGTATTTCTCCCACAGATGTTTAGTTTGTTTGAATCAGGATCCAAACAAGGTCCACACATTGCATGAAAGATACAACATTGCCCTGTTCTGTTTCTTAAATCTTTTTTCCCCCCTATTTTGTGCCATTTATTTATTGGCAACATCATGGTATTTGTTCCCTGGGATGTCCTACACTCTGATTTGGTTGAGTTCTGTCTTGTAGTGTCATATAGTCTATCCATCTATCCTGTCTGCTTCTAAAGACTTGATTAAATTCAGTTACAATTTCTTTAGGCAAGTATCCAGTTTTGCATCCACTATTTTGGACATAGTCTCTCTTTCCGTTTACCACATATTACAGATTTTGCTTCCAAATTACTTCCCAAGCACAGCCACATCTCTCCCTTTTCTCCCTAGTTCAGGCTGCCGTCAACTCTCATCCAGACTTATAATAGCTTCCCGAGTCCATCCTGCCCTGCTCACCTTCCCACCTCCACTCTATCTTCCACATTGTGAGAGGGACATTTCCAAAACACCTGTAATTTTGATTAAAACTCCTCAATGCTTTTACATCATTCTTAGGATAAAAACCCCAGTTCTTGCTGCAGCCCCCAAGGCCCCACCTTGCACCTTCTCCCTTTCTCCTCATTCTGGACCTCTGGCCTCCAGTTGGTCGTCTCCCCTCAGGGCCTTCGCCCCTGGTATCCTTTCAGCCAAGAGCATCTCTTCCCTCTTCACCTACTCAGTTCCTTGTTATTCAGCTAATCTCAGACTAGATGTTACTTCTATATGCAAACCTTCTCCGAAGCCCCCAGACCAGGTCAGCACCCCTGATGATTCCTCTTGAATGGCCATGTAGTTACGACAGTTTGTTGTTATATACCAACTTGTGTGATTATCTGATCATTGTACATCTTTCTCACTGTACCCTGTATGCAGAGGGCAGGGACTATGTCCATTTTGCTTATCACTGTATCCTCAGTACCTAGCATAGTGCCAGACACATAGTAGGCACATAAGAAATGCTTGTTAAGTGAAATGTAAGAATGAATGGCTCTCCATCCCCAGATGGACAACGGGCCTTGTCCTAACTGCCCCCCTCCCTACCCTCCTTATCTCTGGCTGCAGCTCCTCCCACTGTCCCCCCAGCTTACTCCATCCCCACAGCACTAGCCTCCATTCAGTTTCTCCAACACTCCAGGCCCTTGCTTACCTCACCAGGACCTTTGCACTTGCCATCCCTTCTGCCTGGACGCTTTTGCCCCAGATAGCAGCTCACCTGATCACCTGATCTAAGAGATGCCTTCCTAAGCCTCAACTGACTCCATCTCCTGCAGCATCTATGCCTTCTTGACATACTGTCCTCTGTGGGTGTATACCTGCAGTTCGACCTCCTTCCTCTGCTTTCCCTCAATCTCTCTCCTTCCCAGACTGGGATGCCAGGGTGTGTCCTCCACTTCTAGGGACATACTTTTCCTCCATCTTGTGCAGGTGGTTGCCAAGTCTACAGCTCCAGCTTCAGCCCTTCTCCTACATCCTACATTCACACTCATAGCTCCCTGAATGACCATCAGTGGTGATGCTAGTAAAACTGCAACAATGGTGATAACAGCAGTTACCTTTTAATGAGTGCAGTGTGCCAAGCTACTAAACACTTCACATGTACTTTCTTAATTAATCCTCACTTCAGCCCTAGAAGTACATACTGTTGTTAGTCCCAACATAGAGGTGAGAAATTGAGGCTCACAAAAGTTATTTTACTTGTCCAAAGAGATGCAGCAAGTGTTAGAGCCAGGAGTCAAGCCTAGGTCTATCTGACCTATAACCACTGTCCTACTTCTCTTTGATGAAAGTACCACATCGTGCACTTTGACATGCCTTGGATATGCTCCCCATATCTGGTGCCTTCTGCTTTTCTGTTCAGTGTTGCTATTCCTTTGGCATTTCAGGCTTGGTCCTCACTCTTTTCTTTGCCTCTTTGACTTCTCCTTCCTGCCCATACCATACACACACGCACACACATGCACACACACACACACACACACACAGATGCATACACACATACTTTCTTACTTTAGCTAACCCAATTGTTATTCACAACCACTGTGCCAAGATTGCTTGGAAGAAGTGAAAAACTCCAGTTTGAGAATGATTTCCCTTTCCTATAAATGGGAGTGTATGATCCATGGTTATCTCTATAATAGTGTATTTTTATTCCCCTGAATTTCAATATGCTTTTCTGAGTTGGAAAGGATGGGATGGGTCTGAGCTAGGGGGTGGGGAGCTGTGCCTCAGCCTGGGCCTGCCCAGGGTCATGAGTGAGAACTTCTAGTGCCAATTCTTATTTCCATGATGCCAAGCACAGGGCTTGGTACAGAAAAGGCACTCAAACAAGTTTGAGGGATGAATGAGTATATAAAACTGAAAAGTCAGTTGGAGCCTGATCTTTTGAATAAATTTGTCTTCCTGATTTAACGAAAAAGGCACTTGATTTGTAAGCCAAAGATTGCAGTGGTAATTACGTA